TGACACGATTCCCCAGCAAAAAACAACCCTTACAGAATTAGGCAGAAACCAAACAAAATGCTATGCCAGGCCCAGAAGTACGCTAACCAAGAAGAGCATGCATGGCTAAAAGGTCCTGGACCCCGCTATCAAGTCTGATTTTTCTGTAGGGGTTCAGCACTGTGTAAGCAGCTCCCATTTTAATTCATATGACAGAGGATTTGCTTTTGACATGTACTCCCATTACATCCACCTTATCTTGATCTTCAAGCTGTACAGTACTAGTAGCTTTTTCCAGTATTTTCAGCATGTTCTGGTACCCTGCTCCTAACTGTACCGAGATACTTCCCTTCTCTTTCGAGGCAGATGAATTCGGTGCCACTTGCACAACGGCTGAAGTGGAATCTTCACTTTGGGTCTTGGGCTTACTGGCTGCCTTCCACTTTCAAAGTAACCAAGGATATCCATAGCTGAACAAATAGAAAGCGTTCTGCTTCTTTGCTTTCTCTCTCTAACTATCTGATATGGAAGAACTGTGTGCCTTTCTTTCAACCTTCAATCAAAACAGTGCAGTGTTCACACTCAAGGAAAGGATTTTTGCTACCCATTTCCTGAGAATTTTGCCAGCACTTTTGGTTTCTGTTTCACTGGGCTGCTTTCAGTGTCTGTTATTGGCCACCACCTCCCTTTGCCCCTCAAAAAAGAGTGTCCAGGGCCAGCAGCACTCCCAAGCCCCTCACCTGATCTCAAAACTGCTTCCTTCATTTATATTGTGCCTAGGGTTTTCAAATCTTGTCACCTCTGCAAAAGCAGCATCATTCAGTCCAAACATGGAGCATTCATTTGAACTACCTGCTTGTGCAGGAAGATTCTCCTGCAGGAATTGGCATGATGTCTCTTTTTTTCTTGTTTTCAAGAACCTTTGTCAGACTTTTCCAAGAAGTTGTGGGATATGCCATTGCAAGTAAATGAGACTGGCCTGAGGGCATCATCCCACCTTCCCATCATTGGGATGCAGTCATACTTGCAAACTCCAAAATTTGGAGCTGTGCAAATGTTATTTGACCTGTGTTGCAACACCCTTGCTGGGGCAAGATGCTGAGGCCAATGATACTACCAAAATAGCAAAAGGAAATTCCAAATTCCCTTCCTGAGCAGCAATAGGACAGCTTTTAATGACGTGTGATGGGGCAGTGTGAGTTTTATTTGCCTAGTTGCACAAAGGTTATCCAGGTGATATTTAGCTGTAAATGTGCATATGCCCTACACAACAGGAAGCCACTGGTGTTTGCCAGTCTCTGCTGATGAACAGCTGGTGGGAGGTTTAATTCTGTAATGTGATGTGGCCTTTAGTTGCAATAACATTAAGATACAGTTCAAATGGCAAAACAAAGGCAAAGATGAGGCTTCAAAAAGGAAAGGAAGGAAGAGGTGGGTGGGGGATCAGCTATCAAGCATGATGTCTCCCTCCTGAAGAATAAACTACCTGCAGTGTGTGACCTTATAGCTGCATGGCAGGTTCTGTAAGGCAAAATGTTCTACCAGGCTCTTTGTCAGTTTTAACAACAGACCTGGTGGCTAACTTGAACAGGGAAAATGTCTCATGAAAGGTCTACTCATGTGAGCAGAGTAACATGGAAGTCCCACATTCATGCAAAACTCCATTCCATTTGCCCTCCCACCTGGTTTTCTGTTCATCCCAGAAGAGTGTTGAGTGGCCATCAAGCACATTCTGTCCCCACTTGGCTATTTTTCAGGATTCCCCATATCATGAATGCCGTTTAACCTGTCCCATCCTGCCAGCCTGCCCGGCTCGAATGCACTGGGTAAATATACGTACCAGTAGCTGCCACACTGTCTTCTTTGACACCTAGAAACTCTAAGTCTGGGAGAGGAAGCCAGGAAAGACATGATTTGTGGGATGTTGGTGTACTTGAAGACCCTTCACAGGGCCTTCTGGTCATCACCAGCAAGAGAAAATGCATGGGACAGCCAGGCAAAAGACTCAGTCAAAAGATTTATTTAAGATCAGTATAAGAGAGTGGGGAAATGAAGGGGAGCAAAATGAATGCAAATACAACAGTACTAAATAATCAGCAATATACTTGCTTGAAGCAAAGACCTCTGCCTGGTGTTCTACGAGAGACAACGTAACAGAGCAAACCAGTGTGAGCAGGAGGAGAAAATCAGCTTGTCAGAAGAATTTCACTAATAAAACCCTGAGACGAGTTTCCTGCCCTGCGCGTAGGGAGGCCAAGGAGATCTGTCATCTTCGCACACACAGTCAAAACAGGAAACTAGGAAGGGGATCTCTGATCAGTGCAACTTTGCACATGCAAGTAAAGATGCCATGACAGAAACAAGGATATAAGCTTCTGCTAGACTGAACTTGGGTGTTTGGTGACTTGCTTGAGGACCTCGCTAGCTCGTGGTTTATGTGGGGCAGAATGCAGAGGTCCTTCAAATGAAGCTGATGAACGAGACTGGTCTGTGGAAGCTGATGGCAGAATAAATGTGTTAGTCTTTCAGGTGCCAAAAGACTCCTTGTTGTTTTACATTAATATGCATTTACATAGCGAAGAATGATTATAAAATACATGGGGGCCCATGTGAGCCCAAAAGCTGACTATACACTGAAAACAAACTAAGTATATTAAACATCAGTTTCACAAACATGGCAGGAGGTCTGAGCAGTGGAGTTCAGCAGGTTAGGCCTGAGAGGGAAAGACCTGGGTCAAAGGTTGTGCCTAAATTCTAAAGGGGAAAAGCCCCCCACACAGGGGCAGCTGCTGTTCTTAGAAAGTCATGGTCCTGGAAGTTATAATTGGGCTAAAATTGGGAGATGGTAGGGATGGAGCCTGCAGGTTGCATGGAAGGCCCCGACCCCCAGTGCTCTGAGACTGGCCTGAGGGCATCATCCCACCTTCCCATCATTGGGATGCAGTCATACTTGCAAACTCCAAAATTTGGAGCTGTGCAAATGTTATTTGACCTGTGTTGCAACACCCTTGCTGGGGCAAGATGCTGAGGCCAATGATACTACCAAAATAGCAAAAGGAAATTCCAAATTCCCTTCCTGAGCAGCAATAGGACAGCTTTTAATGACGTGTGATGGGGCAGTGTGAGTTTTATTTGCCTAGTTGCACAAAGGTTATCCAGGTGATATTTAGCTGTAAATGTGCATATGCCCTACACAACAGGAAGCCACTGGTGTTTGCCAGTCTCTGCTGATGAACAGCTGGTGGGAGGTTTAATTCTGTAATGTGATGTGGCCTTTAGTTGCAATAACATTAAGATACAGTTCAAATGGCAAAACAAAGGCAAAGATGAGGCTTCAAAAAGGAAAGGAAGGAAGAGGTGGGTGGGGGATCAGCTATCAAGCATGATGTCTCCCTCCTGAAGAATAAACTACCTGCAGTGTGTGACCTTATAGCTGCATGGCAGGTTCTGTAAGGCAAAATGTTCTACCAGGCTCTTTGTCAGTTTTAACAACAGACCTGGTGGCTAACTTGAACAGGGAAAATGTCTCATGAAAGGTCTACTCATGTGAGCAGAGTAACATGGAAGTCCCACATTCATGCAAAACTTGGTCTCTTCTTTTGAGAAAAAAACAAAACAACTGCAGCAGTTCTCCTTATCCCAGAAGAAGAGCTATGATTTTGTATCGGTTTGCAGCTTTCTTGTTCCATTGCTTATTTGCATGAACCTTTTATGCAAACAGCTATTCTTGCTTCCCGCCTTATGGGCAAAGCCTACAATGCAGTCTTAACCAATTTTAAATTGTTCATTGACTCCAGACAAAAGCATCCAGGAGCTTTCACTTCACAAATGGGCTAGAAATCTGTAATAAAGATGTCTCACCACACTTAAAAACTTCTATTTCCAGGGTTCTTTGCCATTTAAACTGTTTTCAAACTGGTTTAAAACCAGATATAATCTTTGGTTCCCTATGACTAAACAACCAGGATCTCTGGCCTTAAATTATATTCTTTTACGAGAGTGGTAAATTATGAATATATATGTTGGCAAATACATGATTATACACAGTTCATACAATATTTGCAAAAGTTTACAAATGCTGCACAGTTCTGTTACCTTTTCATGGAAAAGGCACCCTTTACTTTCTGGAAAAACGGCTGTGAGAAGCCAGCAACAAAGAAATAAAGGAAAAATGGAAGCTATAATAGACGAAGCATGTTTAGAAGCCACTTTCCATAGATATGGCATCACTGTAGAACTGAAAACATCATTCAGTAAGGAGGCATAAGTGGCAGATGTAAAATATCTGGAGTCAAGACACCTCCGGTCTCTTTGGTTACCATCTCCATTTAATCTTGCACTCCTCTTCTAAATACAGCAAGACACACACAGAGAGGCTGCTGTAAAGAGGAGGGCGATGCACTTAAATGCGTCATCTCCAAGCAGTGCCCACCACATCCTCTTGTTTGTCCTTCCATTTCTAGCATCTGGCTGAAGCTTGTTTTTGGCTCACCCAATGCTCCTCAAGAAGTTTGAGCCCTCCCACCCCCCTTTCTAAGGCTCTTCCATCTTTTGGGGACCAGACCCCCAAAGCTGTCCTTCCATGTGCATGTGACCCAAACAAAGATCAGTGGGCAAAGATGCAAATCCAGCATCAGGGAGAAGAGAGCCGAACAAGACTTCTCCATTCCCCTCAAAACCCCTGCATATGGGAACACCGCACATGGGGTAACAGCACACAACGGCTCTTCGCAGGTCGGTCTGAGATGGTGGGGCAGCCATCACCCCTTCCAAACTGCATGTGGGTTCATTGGGATCATCTTTTCTTAGCTGGTATAGAGAGGAATACCTGAGAATCTGATCACTCACTGTAATATTACATCCCCTACCCAATGTCTTCGATGATCGGAGAGGGTGTACCTCATGTTTTAACAACCACTGGGTTTACCAAATGCTTGGCTATACCCACAGAAATCTGCACAGCATCCAGCCATCTGGCCAATTTTGGCAGCTCTCTTGGCAGTGACCTTCTTGCTTCTTTTCTATTCTGTCTGTAGGGCCTTCTCCTTCTGGATCACATCCTTCACGCCTTTCCCTGGCAAAGTAGCAGCCACTATTCTATCCAGTGCAGGGAAGTTCCGTGGGGATACCTAAAAGGAAATGAAGATGCAGACAATGGAATGGCATCCTGTTTGCTGGCTTAACACTGACACTTGATCAGCTGGGGCTCTTCAGGAAACATGGAGCTTTTCTACACAAGGTTGTTACAGTTAATCCCTGGGTTATGGATGATTTCCCTTCCCAAGAAAGTCCTTAAGTCAAATTTGTATGTATGTCAGATCACATGAGTATGCCAAATGTTTGTCTTAGTGAATGTATATATTTTACTTTTCTATGCATTAAAAATATATACATATACTAAGACAAACATTGCATATTCACTAAAACATCTTAAACACAATATAGCATTGTAATAATGACGATAATGCAGTAATAATAAAGCAACTACAGGTACTGAAGAGAGAATCTGTGTGTATGTAGGTAGGTATACAGTACTGTAAAAACAATAGTTCTTAAAAGAGTTTAGAACATACTTGAGGTAACGTTAACATTAACTGATGATGATGGAGCTGGTGCTGCAGAGGCAGGGTTTGGTTGTGCTGCTCTAGTGGCAGGTTACTACTGGAGTGGCTTTCTTGAAGTAGGCCTCAAGGGTAGTTTGTACAGCCATTTTCTTTTTCTCATAAAAAATGGCCTTATGGCAGCTGAGGGCCTGGTTGCAAGGGCAAATGCTACAGAAGAACCAAAGGGGAACTATGCACCCTACACATGCCCCAAAACACAGTGGTCTGGGTATGCTGGAGCCAATGCCATGGAACAAAAAGCCATGAATACTCTATCACTAGGGAACTAGGCTGCCACTGATTAAGTGTCACCAAACACATTGCATAGTTCTGTAGAGATACATTACATAGGTTATACAGATAGTAAAAGCTATCTCTAACGAATCTCTATCTCTAAGAAAGGTTGGGAAGATCTTAAGGAACTTCATAGCCACTGATGATGCATCACACAGTTCCCTAGAGATATTCTCAGCTTTTTGCAGTCCACACATCCGTAAGTACAGGTTGTTCATAACCTGGGGACTACATGTACTTGGCAGTGGATCTGCAGTATCTACTTTCAGTTTCATTGCAGATTGAGATATAAGTGCTGCACCAGGTGCATTTCCTTTCTACTTTTCTGTTACATAACCTGTGGAAAACACACTGGTATAGGCGAACCATACAAAAGAAAATTGAGCTTTCTTCGGCTTTTACAGTGAAGACCCACATTCCCCCTGCTTTTTTTTTAACCTTACCAAAAGTGCTCATTAGACACAGAAGCAAAGCAGGAGGGTGATATTGTCATCTAAGGAACTTGTAATCAACCGTGTGATGCATCACACACACGACTGCATGATAACTGCTTCATGGAGAAAAGTGTGAAGACAGCCTAATAATGCAAATTTTCACTACTTTATTATGAATCATTTGCAAATTGAGGGCATTTAGCTCTTTCCAGTCCCTGAATTTACATGGATTTCCATATTTTGGTGGAGATAGCGCAACTCACATGCTTCCACCTTGCTGATTTCCATCCTCACTGGTGGATGTGACTTGAGCCACCTTCGTACATCATATGACTAAGGGAGTAAAGCCCTCTGCTGGCCACACTCTTTGGTTTAGGTCTGCTGCTGCCTAGACCCAGTGAGAGCCAGTGCGGCGTAGTGGTTAAGAGCATGGGACTGGGACTCAGAGGATCTGAGTTCTAGTCCCCGCTCAGCCATGGAGCCAACTGGGTGACTTTGGGCCAGTCACAGACTCTCAGCCCAACCTACCTCACAGGGTTGTTGTTGTGGGGATAAGATGGAGGAGGAGAATGATGTAAGCTGCCTTGAGCCCTTTGTAGGAAAAAGGCAGGATATAAATCGAAAATAGACCCCAGGACTTGGACCGCCTGCAGTACAGGCGCCTACGCATAAGCAGATGCTCTTGTGCAACCTTGCATGCCTTTGGGATCTTGTGCAGTTGGTCTGCAAGGCTGATTCATGCCTTACTCACTCTAAAAAGCAATAAAGCTATACGCAAAAAGGTGTAGGACAGGCAGCAACAAAAAGCCAAACTATGGAGTGACTTGCCTTTTTCTTCAAGCAGATGAAAGCAAAGGCAGAGACTAGCAGGACAAGGAGGAGGAAGACCAGTCCAGTAATGACCTTCTGAGCTGTTCCAGGCTTTAAACTGGCAATCTGGGCACCTACAAAGCAAGGTGCAATTAAACAAATTGGAATGGAGCAAACTGGAGACATACCCTTTCGTTGGACACAGAGACAGGCAATGATTTAAAAGCCGCTGAAGCTGATATGAAACAACTTTGCTTCCCAGAGCATAGATACTCATTTTTCTGTCCAGTTGTGATCGCTGATCAAACTTTTTTTTAGATATTTGAAGCATATACATAAACAGGTTTATGTGTATGTATCGAGAGTAAGCTTGACTGCATCGTATCATGTTTTCTGTCTTACAGAAAGCAGTGCTCTGCCTTCGGCCAGTGACGACACCTGAGTGAGATGCAAGTCATGCAGCTTGTAACAGATCAAAGCGTGCTTGGAGTTCATGGGGCACTTGAAATATGTAATTGGATCAGGCCCTGAAAGAGGGATAGATCTGGCCATTCCCCCATTCCTGCAGATGAGGATGAAGGCTTCAGAATCACAGTCTTTTATTGGACCTCAAGCAGCATAAATCAAAGTAAGAATTCTCTACAACAAGGGGGAGTAGCTTCTGCCCATGTGAAGAGCAGACTCGAAACTGAAGTGATTCCCCCTTCCTTCCTTTTTTGAAGAGTCTTAACTCCACCCTCGGGGGGCTGCTCATGCTGCTTGAGGGCCAGACTGCAGAATACCTGACATTTCTTAATTGGTCTGCTCATTTAGCTCCTGTTCTTTCTCCAGCATCTAAGAATCCCCCCTCCTCCTCTGCTGCTCTCTGTTCCACAGTGTCTCCCTCCTTTCAAAGGCAGCTTGGTTCTCAGAGCTTGTCTGAGTAATTTCGCTCAGTGCCCTTGATGATTTGGGGTTCTCTGCCAGCTCCTCCTCCAACTCCTCAGAATTCAAACTAGCAGGCTGGGAATGCTGTATTTTGGGAAAGCCGGGCCTCATCTCTGCACTGCATAATACTGCTGACTGTCTCCAGTAAGACTGAGATATTTGTAACAAGGATACTAGACGATAGCAATTATTTAGATCCATTTCCACTGGGATTTAGGCTTGGTTCAGGTACAGAAACCCTTGGTTGCCCTTATGGAATACCAGAGTCAGGAAACCGAGACCTGTTAAATCTTTTGCACCTCTCAGTGGCTTTAGGTGCCATCAGCTGGAGTGCCCTTCTGGATAGAGGCTGTCTAGATTAGGAAAAGGAGATACTATTTCCCTACCTGGATGCTTGGTTCCAAAAGATAATGTGATGTTCAGCTGATGCTGCACAGATCCCAGCAGCTTATCTGCAGCATGGACACGGCATTCCCAGGTGCCTTCATCCTCAGGCAACACCTGGGAGAACTCCAGAGTCGAGCCCTGCCTGGAGACCTCCAATCTCTTGGGGGAGACCTCAGGGCTAGAATGGTTTGTGTCCACCTCATCCAAGTGCTTCCACTGAAAGCGCTCGTTTCCTGCATAGAAGCTGAGGTTGCAGATGAGCAGCAAGTGCGATGCCTCAGTGACTGCTTGCGTGACTAAATGAAAAGAAGGAACCAGACATCAGAAATAGATCAGTGGACGTCCATCACTAATGCATTGCTCTGTGAAGCTAAGACCGTTAACTAAGTTAACTAAATTTAAACCATTCCTTTCATTATGCTAAAATTGTAGGATAGAGTAGAAGCTCATGACAACTTGGAAGGAAATGTGCGATAACTTGGAATTTGAGAAGCAAAAGCTACCACATTCTTAGAAGTAAAGACCAGCTTTACTACTATGTATTTCGATCCCTGTTGCCACAACCAAGGTGGCTTCCAGGTGGGTAGTTCCTTGGTCTATCCAGGCTTTGCATTTCCACTGTAACCTGGAAGGGGAGCTGCAGCCAAGCTTGATAACACTTTAGCTCTGAGTGTATTACTGAGTACTCTGTCCATACCACTTTGGCCACCTAATCAGAAGGAAGGACTCCCTGGAGAAGAGCCTAATGCTGGGAACAATTGAGGGCAAAAGAAGAAGGGGACGGCAGAGAATAAGGTGGCTGGATGGAGTCACTGAAGCAGTTGGTGTGAGCTTAAGTGGACTCCAGGGGATGGAGGAGGACAGAAAGGCCTGGAGGAATGTTGTCCATGGGGTCGCGGTGGGTCGGACACAACTTCGCAGCTAACAACAACTGTCCGTACCAGTGGATGTGAAATACTCGTCAGCTGCCTGGAGAGGTGGTAGGCTCTCCCATACTAGAGGCATTCAGAAAGAAACTGGACAGCCTTTGAGTGGGATGGTGTAAATTGGTGTCCTGCAACGGCAGGGGACTGGACCCGATGGCCTTCCTGGCCCCTTCCAACTCTACTATGCTATGATTCTATGATTCTATTCTTTCTTAACTGGCAGTAAAGAATAGGTAGGCATTTTAAAGTTCCATTGAACAGATTTGATATAACTTTGTGTGTGTGTATCCTGCCTGTGTGTGTGTTTAGGCCATTCCTAGTAGCCAGTATTCTGATGCGTCTTGCTGTCCCTTCCTAAGCGGAACACACCGAACGGACAAACTCACCAAACGGAGACTGAGGACAACAGTGTTCCTGACCCTTTGGACAAGAAAGCCCATTATATAAACAGACACATGCAGGATTCCCTTGCCGCCGGTGCCCTTCTCACCAGTTATTACTGCCAGGGTGACATTCTTAGTGATGGTGGTGCTTCGGATGGTGGCCTTACAGAGGTAGCAGCCTGTATCATTAAGCCCCACTGCAGGGAGATGGAGGGGGAAATTGCCACTGTTTCCATGGGTGGGGGGCAGCTTTGCCTTCGATTCTTCCCTTGTCCAGTGGACAGTCAGCCCTGGCACGCCAGTGTCAGTGGGATGGTAATTCAGGTTACATGGCAGGGAAGCATCTGCTCCTGCTGCAGCATAGACTACCGGGCTGGTTGGCTCAGTAAATCCTGGAGGAGGGAGAAAAAAGGGGGGCAACGGCATTAGGACATGTGGATCCTTCGAGACAAAGGAGAGGCAGGAATGGGAAAACCTTGTCGGCCAAAGCTGGAATTCAAAGAGAAGGGAGTGCCTTTTGATGCGTTGCATGTTTACCCCAAGAGGAATGGCGAGTCGGAGGCTGCTCTCACCTATTATGCGCAGGTTGTAGGTGGCAGAAATCCTCTCCCCATCTGCAAAGGTGAGTTCACAGGTCCAGGGCCCAGAGTCACTCTGGACGGACCTGGAGACAAACAGAGATTGATCCAGAGAGGAAAACCGACCAGAGTTTTGAATGAGCAGACCTGCATGGAACCAGCTTGTTTTTGTGGGCTTTCCTGGATGTGTGGAATTACAGGTCAGCCTGAAAGGTTCAGAGGCAACCAGGGGACCAGGTGGGCTAGCGGTCACTGTAAGAAAAGAAGAAGTGATATTCATAGCCAAAGACACGTCCCTTGAGCTGTGTGCAGATCCATCCTCGATCCCTTCTGGGGAAGCAGCCAGGTCAAAGGGCCACGCTGCACATGGTGGGGCCCTTGTGTGCATTCATTTGCATGCTTGCCTCATTAACAGATAAACCAGGGTCAGGCCCCACATTTTTACATGGCATGTGGAGCAGGTGGAGCACCGAAGGAGATCCACATCATCTCCTCTCCTCTGCCACACTCCATTTCTTGAAATGCTTTTCTCTCAGCTGGCTCTGAGGCTGGAAGCGAGCAAGGCTTGTGGGAAAACGCTTAAGGCAAGGGAGGGCAGCAAGGTAAGACAAGGGCTGGGGTGCATTTCACATTAAAACCCCCAAACAACCCCCCATCTCCTGCTCTTTATGTAAATCAGACTCACATGGGAATAACATATAAAAGCAATGTGGCTGCCCTATCCAGCCTAGCTCAGGCTTGTGAATTTCATCCCTTGCATTTATGAATAACATTTATTCAGTCCCTAGGCCCTCCTTAACATGGCACCCGATGTTAAATAGGCGAAAGGGGTTTGTGGTCCTCTCCAAGCCTTGATTCATGTAAAAGCATGCCACATCAGAACTGCCCATTCCCTAAGCCCGAGGCCGAGTTTTTCTGAAGGCCCCGGCTAGCTCCATTTCCCCAAAGTAGCTCCTCCGCAGGCCTCTCTCCATGTCTGACAGGATTTTGTTATTTTGCAGGCCCTCTTCCCCTCGACTGTTGCATGCGCTTACCCAACACCACACCGAGCTCCAGATGGCAGTTCCACACCTCGTTGCCCGATCTCACGATGGCTTCATAGCTTCCGGCATCATCTTTCAGCAGTGGCTCAATCTGGAGCGAGAAATTCCCCTTGAGAAAGCCTGGGTCCCAGACCGTAGCTCGGTGCATCATGCTGTGGGCCATTTTCTTGAGCCCACTGCGCTCCACCTTTAGCACCAGGTGGTACTTCTTGCGGGAGCTGGGAACAAGGAAGGGAAACTAGGTGAGCAGGCCAGTAATTGCCAAAGCAGCTGGAAGAGAGGCGGCACTGGAACGGTAATTATACACAGCCGAAAAGTTCCCCCACCAGCCCCAGAGCAGGCCCTGCCCTCTTACCTGTTCTCACGCCTCACCCAGCGAATGCTCAACCCCCTGTAGAGCTGCTCTTGGCTGTGGGCCAGCTTCTGAGGACTCAGGGAGCAGGGTAGCTCGGCTGGCCCCCCTTCTTCAGCCCACATCCTGCATTTCTCTCCCACTGCACAGGAGGCATATCTGGCTGCAGCAGGGACACGGACCCAAACAAAGAAAGGATGATGGTGCAAATGTCTCCATGATGCCCCAGCCTGACCTACCCCATAGGTGCACTGTGAGGATAAAGCGGAGGAAGATGAAGCAGGGTTTGGAAGGGGGCATCCGGTGCTTGGGGAGAGAGCATGGGGGAGAGTCCCAGGTTCTGCAGCAGGGGCGCAGGTCAATATCTGAGCAAAGCCATCGGAGCCCCCAGAAGCTTTGGCTGCACCACCATCTTTCAGTTCTTACCATTGGTCAGCTGGAGAGGGAGGGTGGTAGTCCAGACAAGGAGCAGCCACATCACCGTGGAAGCCAGGTGCCCCAGGCTCAGCATTCCTCTGCCAGCCTGAGTGAGCAAGATCTGGAAGCGGTGGAAGATGAGTTGGACTGCGTGAGAGGCTTGGGCTGGAGAAGGAGGCGGACTGCTGATCAAAGACCTTCGTGGTCACCTTTATGCTGGAGGTGGGCTGTCGGTTTCCTGACAGTGCTGAAAGGAGAAACGTCACAGACGAGAAACCATCCCGAGGCTGAAAGAAAACATGTGCAGGAAGAAAGAGTGAAGGGAGTTCTGAAAAGCACCCTGAAATGGAAACTGTTTCTGTCTCATTCTGTCCACTCACTAACTCTTGTTTTTCTTCATGGTTTTACTTGCAGTGGAAAATGTCTGTAGGGCTAATTTCTCAGGAAGTGCCCTTGGTGTTTTTCTTTGATCTTTTCCTTTTAAGGCATTATTTCTTTATCTCAGAGAATTTATCTGTCAACAATACTAATACTAGTACTAATAACAATAGGATGATGAAAACACTTGAATATGTTCAAAGGGCTTCACGTGGACTAGGTACGTTTCCACATCACAGGACCCATTCTGCAAAGAAGCAATGGTAGGTTTGTTATCTCCAGGATCAACCCACAGTGTGCCTGACAGATGACTGGATTTACCATGCCTTGTCCCCTCTTTTCCCTCTTGGTCCATTCGGCATCCCGGGGGATTTGGTGGCTAAAGCTCACTGCAGTTCCCCCCCTTCCCCATTTTCCCCCTGGAGAAACAACCCTCAAAACAAGTCATGGGTTGTCAGGGTGACCTGCCGCCCATGAACAAGCCACCCTATGGGAAACTGTCTAGGCTTGTGACTTGTCACATGATGGGCTGACATATAGGTGACCTGGTCTGCATGAAGCAACAACCCATCATAAGCCCGTTCCCATGATAGGTTGTCATGTCATGCAAAGCTGGACCAAATCCGCAGAGTGGGTTGTTTGAGGGAAACATGCCAGGCTGACCATGCATGGGTTGTTTCAGGGGTTGTTTTTCCCACAGTGTATTCCTGCTCTTGCCAAGCCTCCCAGGGCCCTCACCAGTGTTGACCACCCCAGATGTGTAAAATGCCACTTGGGGGCACCTGGCACTAGCTGGCACTTGTCCCCAGCCCCGGTTGCCCCATATGCCAGCCATATAGCCGTATGGCTCACTCCAAAACCCTCCAATGCTCCCTTTAAACCTCCTTTTTAAAGGAGCTAGCATTTTGACAGCTTTCAAAATTCCTTTATCCAATGAAAAGGAGGATGCACTTTTGCACTTTTTTGAACAACTAGAGTCTCAGGAAAAGTGCATATGGGCCATCAGGAGGGAGAGGACCTCATCATCCTCTTTTTGCAAGCATCACTTGTGCCTTTTCTTTTGCTTGACTCTGAAGCTTGCCTTTGACAGCTGTCAAGAGAAAGCAAAGGTGGACAGAGGAAGCTTTTTTGGACACCCTGTGAATTAGCGTTCTGCACTGGTATCCACTGCAATCTAACAGCATATTAGCCTTCCCTGACATTGCCTAAACAAAGCCAAGGGTGGCTTTAAAATGACATTTTATTTTCAGCCAGTCACTGAGAAAACAATCTACACAACAATGCCATCTTCCTGCTTTCCTTAGAGGACCAAAATTATGGGCTACCAGCCAAAAGGAGAGAGAAATATTTGAGCAAACACAGAGATAAATGTTTGATGCAACATACAACATCTTCTATAGGCTTATGGATGCGTTGCATTGCTTCCTCCATGTGCTGAATTTATAAGTGGTGAGTAGTGGACAAAAGAAATATTTGGCTGTTACCTCCAGCATCTTCCTGGAGCACGTCTTCCAACAATGTAATGCTTAATGATGTCCGTAGAAACTGGTTGGGATTGCTTTGGAAACCAGCGTATAAAAGAACACGGAGAAGCAGAGCCATTTGCTACCCAGCTGCAAGTCTGCATGATTTCTAGCTGCTCTGCAGACAGAGCGTGAAGTGGAAATAAAGACATTCCTGTTAAAGAAGACCAGCAAGGCTGACTAACACCTCCTCTCACTTTTGACATGGGCAAGTGACACAAGCACTCATTTATGATCAAAAGAAATTATTCCAGTTATCTGTACTGGAGTGATGCATTGATTTTACATAAAATTTGCATTGCATTCACATTAAATTACCAGCATTTGTGAGATGCTTGTAGGCTGTGCCAAATAGAATAGACCTTATGTCATATATGCAGCAAATGCCATTCATCTGCATTCATCTATAGGTTCTTTAAGCAACATAACAAATTATGGAGATCTGTTCAAATTTACTAAAACCAGTTGGATTCCCATGCTCCTAATGATGCTCATTTATGTGCTGGTCACTACTGAAATTGAATGTTCTCCCTACATTTAGGAATCCAAACTAATTGTTTTCAGGATCTTGCATTTGGTTTATATCTAACAACAACCTAATTACATGTAACTTCTTTCAGCACCTCAAAACATTTCATATTTATATTATTATTATGGGATCTTTAAACATAAAAGGGCAATTTGTGATTCAAAACGTGTTATGCATTTTGCTTCCATGATATAGGTAAGCTGTTACACTGACCTTAGAATTTGGGTGTGATCACATAATACAAGAAGCCATGGTGAAACATTACCTCTGTGGGGCTGCTATATCATTTAGACGCAGTTCTGGAGGTCCTGCATGGTTTAGTTTTCTGAATCCATGGAGAGAATCACAGGTCAACTCTAAGGTTTCCTCACTTCGCCATGGATTCTCCAGTCATCTGGATCCTGGATTGTCATTTTATCATCATTGGTATGGAAACACCATAGAGACTCATGGCAAGAGCAGCCATGGAATTGGCCACTTCTGTCCTTTGATCTTTGCTGCTCTCAGCCCTGTAACTCACAATATTCCTACTGACCAAGCAATGTATGCATCTCCCAGTTTACTTTTGAAAACAGGAAAACAACACAAAAATGCACAGAGGGAGAAGTGGGGAAACATGGTGAAACCATTCATTTTCATTTAATAAAAACCTCTGTGAGGACTGGAGCAGCTGAGAATCACCGCATCCATGCAGGCACACTCAGGAGCGGGAAGAGGGAGCCCACCTTGGGACCGCAGCAGACCCATCGGGAGGAGACCCTAGGCAAGATTAGAGAAGGGGGCTTTGGTTGCAGGGGCTGCCAGGACGTGTGGCAAGGCGAGGGGGTGGAGCAGGAGTGTAGAAACCACACTGCCCCGGTTACCTCGTGATCATCCGACCAGACAGTTTGGGTAAAAATCTGCATGCCTGGGAAACAGCATTCCCACCATCCTAAGAATATGGGGTTTTTTGCAGTATGCATCAAGGTCACCGCAGGAAGAGAGGATCTTCTCCATGTTCAAATGTGCAAAGCATCGGAATCCTACCCTGGACTCTACGTACTGAATCCAGAGGAGCAGCTACTGTGTGATCACAGGTGTTTGCTGGAAAGTATGTGGACTGTCTTCCTCCCATGCTTTCTTGTCCCTTAATTGGTCCTTACTTCTCCTGAGATTAATCCACAAGGTCATGGGGCAATGGACTCATTAACATCAGTCTATATTTACCGCATCCCAGGTGCATCATTAGGTCTGTGGATATTCCCCATATGCTTAGTTCTAGAAGTGATCCCAAGTTTGAGACGGACCATTTCAGGCTGCAGGTGACTTCCCCACAAACATACGTGGAGTAAAATTTAAATTCCTAGGCATCAAAAGCAAGCATTGTGAGGAGACGAGTAAGTCAGAACCTTCTCTTTAGCCTCTAGTTTTCTACATGCAGGGTTGTGTTTTTCTTTTGTCTGGATGCTTTGACCAACACCTTCCATCAGCCCCATCAAGTGGAGTCCGTGAAAGGCTTAGGGATGCATTTTTAAAGTTGCATCCAATGTTTCATTAGTGGACTTCTATTCTTGCAGTAGCATTTTCCATTCCTCCCCCCCCCTATTCTCCCCCAAATCTGGTCCAAAGGGACCCCCAATTCCATGGAGCAGATTTGGGGAGCATGCAGGAGTCTGCAGGGAGAAGGGGAATCCATTCTACTAGTGGTACTTTTGCCACTGGCAAAGGGACACCACTGGATAAAACCCTTAGATTTCAGATATTGTTGTTACTATCTTCATAGAATCACAGAATAGAAGAGCTGGAACGGCCCAAGAAGGCCACTGAGTCCAACCCCCTGCTGTTGCAGGACACCATGTTACACCAGCCCACTCAGATGGCTGTCCAGTTTCTTCTTGAATGTCTCTAGTGTGGAAGAGCCCACCACCTCTCTAGGCAGCTGGCTCCACTGTGGTATTGCTCTGACAGTGAGGAAGCTTTTCCTGATGTCCAGCCTGAATCTGGGTTGCCACAACTTGAATTAATTATTCCATGTCCTACACTCTGGCATCAGTAAGATCTTGACTTTCCTCTTTGTGACAGCTTTTGAGGTACTTTTAGAAGGATATCATGTCCCTCCTCAGTCTTCTCTTCTCAAGGCTGAACATACCCAGTTTTCTCAGTCTCTCCTCAGAGGGAAGTGTTTCCAAACCCTGGATCATTTTTATTGCCCTCCGCTGGACCCTTTCTAATTTTCCTGCAACTTTCTTAAATCTCAGTGCCCAGATCTGGACACAGTATTCCAGGTGAGGTCTGACTAGTGAGGAGTATAGGGGAACTACAACTTCGTGCGATTTGGAAGTAATACTTCTGTTAATGCATCCCAAAATTGCATTTGCCCTTTTCTTCTGAGCATCCCTGACCAGTTCAGCTGAAGTGTGGCATATAAACATTTTATTTTTTTAAAAAGGGCAAAGGATGGCACCAAACCCACCGACTCTGTCACACCTTTCTGGCTTTGCTATTGTTGGTCAATAGCCACTCTCCCTGCTTATTTTATGGCCCGGAGTCCATTTAGCCAGCTGCGGCCAGTAAAGAGATGTGGTCACAATACAGGAGTCAGCTTGCATGGGCTTCTGACACAGAGAGAGGTACAGGTGAGACCCAGTGTGGAAATGGGAGCTTTCAGTCAAGCAAAGTCACTTCTGGTAGAGGGTTTTTCTGCTGAGTGAGCTGCTG